AAATGAAAGGTAGAAAAAGAAACATTAACATGGCAATCAAAGATTTAATAATCGTAAATCACGGTGGGGTTTTTTTGTTGCAGCTGCAGTTTGTGTGTTTTTTATGTTTTAATCATGTTCGTTCTATAAATAAATAATTTCTGAAACGAGACTAATTTTTCACTATTTTAACCGTGGGCTATGGCACTAAATATTTTTTTTTTAAGTATGGAACTCCAGATTGCAAACTATCAGACCAGAAAAGGAGGAAAATACAGCTAAGTTGGATTAGTTCACATTTGAAATTTCAAGTGCAATGTCTTCGCACTGCCGACTGCTTACCTTTCCAATTGAAATCCTTATAAAGTTTATTTGGAATCATAAATGTTTATGTGAAAGCAGACAACCGGCGTTTCTTTACAAGGCTAACGGTAGCACCAGCCCTCATTCCTGGAGGAAATATGGAAAAATATATTTACGTATATGTGTTCTTTTCCCTATATATATATACAGGGGAAAGAACAATAACAGTTAGGCTGTATTACGTTCAAACTAAAGCGTAGTTAAATTTCCAAGGGAAGATTGAAGAGGGGGGAACCTGGCGAGAGGGGTGATCAATGAGGGGAAGGACGAGACGGAGAGGTTTGCTCTCCCCTCGGTTTAGCGCTACTCCTGAAAGGGAGGCTCCGGGGCTGCCTAGGGTGGCTGTGAGAAACTCAGCATCCTTCTGTCCCGGCTCACACGGGCTCGGCTTTGGTCCCCCCAAGTCCCGGGTTATGGGGTGCACTGGCTCATCCTCTGGGAAAGTGGCTGGAAAATAATTCTTTTAACTTTCGGAGGCAGCGGATGGAGTTCATTTTGTGCTGCGAGGAGGGGGCAAAAGGAGTTAATCTTTACTTCGTTGGTAATCCTTATAGAGCCGAGGGAGAGAGAAGGAAAAGGGGGGAAAAAGAAACCCCATGGGCTCCTCCGGTTTGGGGGCTTTCCGCAGCGCTGCCCTCTCTATAGAGCGCTCGGCGAAAAGAAACCGGTAAAAAAACCCAACTAAACCCCAACTAAATGGGGGAAACGAGTCGCGTTCCTGTGCCCTCCTCCTCCTCCTTGCCGAGGGGCCCAGCCCTGTCCTGTGCCCCCTCCCCAGGTTCCCCGGTGTCTCCGGCAGCGCTCCCCGCCGCCGGACCTTCCCCCGGGGCGGCCGCCGCTCCGCGCCGCGGGGCCCCGCGGATCCCCCGCGGCCGAGGGGATGCTACGGGGAAGGGTCCCCCACTCCCAGAGGAGCCCCCACCGCAGCACCCCCGCAGCACCGCCGCCCTCCAGGCAGGTACAGGCAAAACTCTTTAGGATTGGGGGGCGGAATTCACCGCATCTGTGTTGGGTTTGTTTGGTTTTTTTTTTTTTTTTTTTTTTTTTTTTTTCTTTTTTCCCCCTCCCTCAGTCCCTGTCCCCAAATTGGGGGATCCCAGCAGGACGGCCCCTCCGGGAGCTGCCCTGGCCCTGCCCGCCGGCTGCCGGGGCCGCGCTCCGGGCGGTGCCCGGGACTTGTTGTCTGCCAGGCGGGGAGCGGGGCCGGGGGGGTCCGGGGCCGGGAGGGTCCGGGGGGGCCGCGCCGCCTCCCGCAGCCCCTGACCCCGGCATGCACGGCGCGGCTCCATTGATCATCCCGGCCCGCCACCCCCTCCCTTTATGAGATAATGCAATTACAAACATCAATAAGGAGCTGCGAGGGGAATCATTATGCGGTGACAGTGATAAATGACGGTGCAGAAATAGCATGCTTTTTTTTTTTTTTCCTCCCTAACAATCCAGGGGCTTTGGGGGCTGAGCACAGTCACCAAGGTAACAGATGACATCCAAAATGGCACCAAAGGAAAAAAAATGAACAGTCTTTCTTTCGCCTTTCACTCTTTTCGCCCTGCTCTTCCAAAAGAGTTAGTTGGGGCTTTGGAAGCAGCTGCCACACAGGCATGCGGGTATTTCCACACGCATTAAAGGGACGGCGAAGGTTTGCTGGCTGTCACACAAAAAGCACCAGCCCGGCCCGGAGCTGAGCAGCCACCTCCAGGCGGCACCGGGAGCGCCCACCCACCCCACCCGCGATCGCCCCCACGCCGCCCGCCCCTGCCCGCGGCCGGGGACAGCCACCTCCTCCTGGCCCTCGGGAAGCGTTCCTTCGCTTTTATATGGACATAAATATATAATTATACATATACTTGTATCATCCCGACTGGCACAAGCAAGGTCAGGGAAGTGGGGAAATGCTCTCCTGTTTTCCACGCAGGTTCAGGACGCGGGGACCGGCACCCCGGGTAGCGGGGGAACTTCGCGCCCAGCAGAGCCGGGGGTGGAAATATTCACCGCGTGGCCGAAAAGTGCCGCTTCTGAGCCCAAAAGTACCTGTGGCTGGTGGAGGCACGGCAGGGCAGGCACCCCAACCCCCCGCCTCCCGCTAGTCCCTCCGCCTGGAGGGCGGCTCGGTCCTCCTGGCTGGAATTTGTTGTCCCCTCGCAAAAAATCCTCGTGGGGTGCGGGTGTCCAGCCCAGACACAGAGCAGGCCCCGTGCACATACCGAGCTGAGGGGTCTGGCCCCTCGTCCGCTCCTGGAGGGGAAGGTGTTGGGTCCGTGGGACACTGCGCCCGGGGGTGCGGGACGGCCCAGAGTGGGGGGGTGGTTTTGGGAGAAGAAGAGAAGGGGGGCGTGGGAAATGGGGGCCGATTTAAAAAACCAAAACAACAAAAAACAAACAAACACAAAAAAAAACCAAACAAAAAAACCCCCAAAACCAAAAAATGAAAAAAAAAAAAAAAAAAAAAAAAAAGGAGTGAGAAATAGGAGAAATAAAACCTCACGGAGGGTTGCGCAAACTTTGTTCCGCCAACGCGCAAAGCCCGCGGCGCTGCGCGGGCGGCCCCGGAGCACCCCGCATATCTGCCCCCCCCTCCTCCCCCCCCGCGTCACTCTCCCGAGCCCCCAAGAGATGGCAGTCGAAGACGGCTTTCCTCCTCCTCCTCCTCCTCCTCCTCCTCCTCCCTCCTCCTCCTCCTCCTGCTGCTCCTCCTGCTCCTCCTGCTTCTCCTGCTCCTGGGCGGCGGGCAGCGGCAGGACAGCGGGGTGAGCCGCTCGCCCCCGCTCCCGCACTGCGCCCCCGCGCAGCCCCCGCGCAGCCCCGCGGGACGCGCAGCCCCCGGGGCCGGGGAGAGGCGCGGAGGCGCAGCCGGGAGGCCTTCCCCGGGCCCCTCCGGCCCCCACCCCCGGTGCGGTGAAAGGAGGGTAGCTAGGAAACAGCGAGCGGCCCGAAAAGGCGGAATTTCCAACGTGTAAAATGTTCTTAACGGAGCCATTGAGAGAGTGCAATAAGGCGTGAGGGGGAACTAATCTCCCCATTTAAATGTTTGTGGCAATTTTATCTAAATGAATTTTAATGCTAAACGAGGGATAATTCCCTATTTGTAACCCGTTTACTTCTCTTTCCTGTGCCTCTGAAGCTGTCTAACATCATGCGATGAACAATAACAATAAAAATACTGTCAAGGCATATTCTTCATTTTGAATGTGTTATAATTACAGCTGATTAAATGTCTTGGGATGTAATAGTGGGTTTAATTTGAAATGTGCCCCCTCCCCCCCAAAAAAAAAAAAAAGGTCCCACGGAGGAAGGTCTGTGCCCCACTTCGCTGCGGCCGCGAGAAGAAGGGACGCGTGTGCCCTCTCCTGCGAGAGGGCGGTTTGTTTTTGTCTTTCAAGAAACATTAAAAAAAACCCCCAAACACGGCACAACAAAACAAACAAAACAAAGAAAAAAAAAAAAAGGAAAAAAAACTAAAAAAAAAAAAAAAAAGGCAAAAAGTGAGCCCCGTTCATTCACGTTTTGGCAGAAAAAAGTGTCATTACTCCGGGCTCACAAAGAGGGAGCCGGGATGTGCAGCCTCCTTGACGGCACAGCGGCCCTTTAAAAACACAGGGAGGAAAAGGAGGAAAAAAAACCCAAAACACTCAGGAGTTAAAAAAAAAAAAAAAAAAAACACCCAAAAAACAAAAACACACCCAAACAAACAAACAAACAAAAAAACAACAGGAGGAGGAGGTCCAAGACGTGGGGGGAGAGGACCCCACTTACGTGGCTTGCTTCACTGAGAAAGGTCTACACTGCCTGCCTGCACCTCTGCCTGCTCCCCAGCCCGCCCCCTGCCCAGCCCGGGGTACCCGGGGGACATGCGGAGCAGGGGGGCCCCGCCGGGAGCCTGTCCCAAACACCTCCGAGACACCTCCTGCCGGGGACGCCGGCTGGCTTGGGAGGGGTGCAGAGCGGGGGAGAGGGGGGGGCTGTTGCATGATTTTCCTTAATTAAGATATTTGTGTCCTTTTCCTAGCCTCGGGAAACGCTTATTTTTTTTTTTTTTTTTTTTTTTCTTCTATAGCTGCAATTTGATTTAAAGGAAACGAGAAGGTCTTGCAGCCGCAGCCTGCCCAGGCTGGCTGGGACTGTTTTACTCGCTGGCTGCGGTGCAGAAAAAGTACAAATGTGTGAGGAAATTGGTTAATGAGGAGAGGAGAGGAGGGCCTGCACTGGCCTTGCTTGCAGGGGTCCAGCAGCACCTCATCCCCTTACAGATATACATTGCCTGGGCAATGTTTTCCAAGTTTTATTTTCCTCCTTCCTTAGTATGTTCAATTCCAGAAAGAAACTCAATAATTTAAACTGTGTATTAGAACTAGAATTTGGAGGAGAGGGTGGGTAATACTATTTACAAATTTCTGTCCAATAATACCCTACGATATTACATTTATTAACAGGCAGCAGTTCCCATCCTGACAATTTACAACGCAAGTTCCAAGAAAGTTTCTTTACTCAGCGTAGCATTATTTTTACATTATTTAAATATGAAGCTGATATTTAAATAGCAAATGATAGGTAACATCTCCAGAGCCAGCTGAATTTTGTAGCTGCTCGGTTCCCAATTTGGGATAGAATGGCTACAAATACTGCATGGGGACAGGAAACAAATTTTGCAAGCAGTGGAGTCACCATGACAAAAAATAATTTGTTTTTATTTTAGATTCAGATTTCATTACTGCACTCAAACTACTACAACTGGGCTTTGAGTTATTATACAATCCAAACTGTTTCAATCAGAAACTCTAAGACTCAGTGTGCAATGATTATTATTAATAATAATTAGCTCCTTGGTTTCTTGATAGAAAAGGCTATCAACAAGCATTTGTTTAACCACAACAAAAGTATAATTAGCTTATCCCACTTAGTAAATCTGTATGCATGCCAACTCATACCAAACTGCTACTTTTACAAAAAATTGCAATAATACAGATCATTTTTCCAGTCCTTTTTGCACAAAATTTATTTACAATGTATACATAAATGCTCCATGATGGGACTATGGAAAAAAAAAAATGCACACATGACCGATGTCTTGCCCAGAAAGAAAGTCAACATATTAAAAATAAATCTTCAGTCCATGTTTCGAGCTGCATAAAACAGGAAGTGATGTACAAGGTGGTGGTTGCTGCATGGGGACAAGGATGCTCTGATGTGACAATTAGGCTTCAAATACACTGCCTTTCCGTTTCCATGCTTCCTCCTACCAGTCTCCTTAAGACACTGCCTGCAACAGCTGATTAATCATTGTTGATGACTGCAGTTTTTCCCATCCTTCCCGATTTACATCTGTTCAGGCCAATTCAAATATGGTGAGTAAATGAATTAGACATGCAAATTCACGCCCCAGGCTAGAAAGAGAGAGAGGGAGAGAGATGGGGAGAAAGGGAGAGAAAGGGAAGAAAGACAGACCGAGATAGAGGAGGAGAGAGGGGGGAGAGAGAGAGAGAGAGAGAGTGTGCATGGCTGAAATCCTAGGATAGAAGAAAGATTCTTCTGCCTGACATAGTTATTTTAATGCTCTAAAAATCCTGCAAATAAGCCCTTTCTGTCATTTGCAGGATAAGTGTAAGGCTTCTTTTTTAATGTAAGGAGGCTTCTGGAGGAAGTGAAGAGCTATGGAAACAACACACATAGTGTGGAAAAATTTCACATTTTTTTTAAAAAATCTATAAGAAACAACGTAATATGGATAACAGTATAATAGCATTTTACAATATTTCACTCTTTGTTCTCTTAATGTCTTATATAGGTATTTAGCATGTCCCCAGAAGTTGACTTCGGTTGGTGTTTTCCTGCTTTTCAGGGTCCCTGTGAAGAACTGGAACGTCCCTTGGTCCAAAGTTGACGCCAAGAACTCCATAGTCATTGCAGAAAGACAATGTTTGAAATCTACCATCGCTGCAGACAACGTGTGTTTTCCCTTAAGCTACTGAGCATGAATGTCCATCACTTGTCCGCTCACTGCTGGCTCGCCGGTATGAAGCATTGTGGGGCTTGATGCTGACATGGGCATTCCAGGGTGGGGTGGTCCTCCATGCATCATCATCGCTGGGTGGTGAGGGTGTCCAGGAATGTAGGTATGCATGGGGGGGCCATGACGCAGCTGAGCAGGATGGGGGGGCATCTGGGGCGGGGTATAGCTTGGCTGTCCCATATTCATACCCATTGGACTACCCCGAGACACATAATCCCCTGGCATACTTTGCAGCCCTGCGGAGAGAAAGAGGCGGTGGTGAGTGTCGGGGACTGGCTGCCGACATCGGGCCGTGGAGCTCATCCGCTCGGGCACAGAAGGCCGGGACGGAGCCCAGGGAGGGACACAGAGCCGCGGATACGCGAGCACGAGTTGCCTTTGTGGAATCAGAGTCCACGTATGGACTCACAACGATGGCAACAGGGACGATTCCCAGGTCAAAAGGAAACCTCCCACCCCCCCGAACCTCCTCTCCCCTCCAAATACAGAGTTTTTGGAGACAAAACCGCTTTCTCCTTTTATGGTTAGGAACATATGCGATGGAGATGTTTCTGATCTGGAAGCACGCGAGAGGCAGAGCCAGCCCGAAGATGGCTGAAGTCACAAGGAGTGGTGGCACCAAGCCCTGTGAGGGCTCTCAGGTGGCTCTCCATTCCCCATGACCTTACTCCAGCCACCTGCCTTCGTCTCCCCACTTGTAAGAGCACGCTGGGGAATACAGGGCAGGGAATCCGTAGTAGTTAATGGGGGGCTCGGGAGGAGAGATGGGTTAAATAGGTGTCAAGTTTATCAACAGATATTTATTTAGCTCTTGAGCCTGATCACTTGGAATCTGTCCCAAGTATTTGTGCCATTCAAATAGATGCTACACAGCAAGGACATACATTGCTGAACAAAGGCCTCGTATGAAGCCGAAATTGATAGGATTACTAAGTACGGCTGTTAAACCAAACCCATATTTTTAAACACATTAAAAATATATACATAATCAATAACAGTTATCAATTAATTCTTTTCCCCCTGCTCACCTCTGGCCACAAAAAAAAAAAAAAAAAAAAAAAATTCAGACGCGCAACTCAGTCAAACCTTTCAGTGGGTTTGGGAGAACAATAAGAAAAAAAATTGGACCTAAAACAATAAAACCTCCTGCTTTCTGTGGGCCTCTGCCTTCTGCTTGGATTGCTGTAGCTGATGGGAACTGACAGGTGTATTGTTTCGGAGAGCTATAAGCTCCATAATCATCAAGGGTGAAAGGCATACGCTATTGCTAAGTAGGTTCAATTGGCTTTAGTTCTAAGTAAGAGCGCGCTGTGAATGTGCCGAACACCTTGGAATCAGGTCTCAAGGCTCTAGCAATGAATAGCTGCTTAATCTAGCCTAAAGGAACAGTTTTGAACTAATGAAAATTGCTTATAAAATATACTGTACTCACAGCTCTTTAATCAAAAAAGATGATAATATTTTTTGTAATAACCTATTAATTTAATTGGTCACGAAGCATAAAATACATCATTTAAATTTAATTGACCCAGAAACTAAGAAACAATATTTAAATTAACTAAGCTAGAAATTTTCATGATGAGGTAATAAGGCTGTTGCATTCCCAAGCTCAGAGGAATGTTTTCACAGCTAATTGTTAAAACTTAGTTTTGACTTGGGCCCAGAGAAGACTACTACGAAATACACTTGCCCTGGGTAACTTCAAACCCTATGTTAATATAGGCTGGGGGCACAATAAAGATGCTGAAATAACTCTTTCAACTCCAGCAAAGAGCAAGAGGAACAGAATCACAGAATCACGCACCATTTAAACATGGTACCGGTGTATTGGTGTTTCAAACCACTTCACTCTTAAAAAAAAAAAAAAAAAAGAAAATACAAAAATTTGTATAATGTATTTTCCCCTATAAAAGACAAGAGGGAGAAAAAAAAAAAAACTGGGACAGTTTTTCTAGGCTTTCTTCGCAAGGCCTGCCACTGAAGATTGCATTAATGATCTCTATTTTTGTATACTGAATAAGTCAAATCCATTTGTCACACTGCAAGTGATGGCATACTTAATTTGGATATAGTCAATTAGCCTGGGCTAAGCTCCATAGCCTGCTGCGCACACCTCTATTTTGTATTCTCTCTTTTTCCTTTGCCACACGTAATCCCATTATGATGGACAGACAAAGAGAAATAAACTTGAAAAAAAAAATAAAGAAAAAAAAAAAAAAGAAATCAAAGTTTTGTCCATCGCCTTCCAAAACACAACTAAGTGAAGCTGCCGGTTTTTTTTGTTGTTGTTGTTGTTTGTTTGGTGTGTTTCTTTTTTCCTACCCTACGAGAAGTCTCTGCTTGGCTTTTTTGGTGTCTTGCAGGTTAGCGGGAGAAATGTAACTCATGCATCAACTGCGGTTAGACAGATTTATGACACTTTGGGGACATGCTCTTTCCTCTCCCTGCGCTGCTGCAGACCGCTTACATTTTGCAAATCAGTCTGTTGCCAAGACGACGGGCTCCCCCACCTCCCCGGCTGCTCCTTGTTTTGTCATGTGCTCGGGGATGGATAATAGCATCAATGTATGGCGGCGTCGATGTACGGCAGCGTCGATGTACGGAGCGCGCGCGCGCACGGGGGGTTCGGGGAGCTGGGAAAGCTTGAGCTGAACCAGAGGGAGAGAAAACCCGAAGGAGCCCAGGCGTAGGATGGATGGATGGATGGAAAGGAAGGAACAAGCATGAGGCTATGGGCAGGGAGAACATGCCAGAAATGCAAGAAGACAAATATCCCTCGGACAAAGTGAGAACAAAGACCTCGTTTGTACTTACTTCCCCCTGGCTTTGCCATTGGTTACCTAGGTGAAGGTTACATGTAGTGCCACTGCCCCTCCATGCCCATATTCATGCCCATTCCACTCATAGGTCCTAGAGGGAGATAAAAATCCAAGAAGATGCCAGAAAATGAGCAAAGTCAACAGATAGCGCCAAAAGCCCCTTTCCAAAACACAGCACCGACAGAGGGTCCAGGACCGCTCGAGCAAGGAGGTGCCCGGTTTCCCTCGGCGGTGTGTGGAAGGCAGGCAGAAGACAGGTGAGGCAAGGCAGGCAGCTGGGACGGCAGCGGAGGGTGGAGGTGTGTGTTTACCTGCGGTGGCGCGACTGAGGCCACCCGTAGGTGGGCGATGCTCCCCCGGGGCTTACCTGGCGCTCGGATGCCCATGTGCTGCTGGCCGTCCATCACGAAACCTCCCATCGGCTGCCCGTCGGGGTTATAGGGTGTTCCTTGACTTACTGGAAAAGTGCAGAACGTTGCTTTTTTAGCAGCAGCCAAGAGGGTCACCTCTTCTCACGGCATCGAGACACAACCCCCCCTGCCCCACCGCCACCCACGGGCTATCGATGTCGGCTCTAAAAAGAGGGAAAAGTATCTGCTGTGCGAATTTAGCGCCGGACTAACAAGCACGCTTAAGTTTTGGCTTAATCTCCTTCTGCAAGTTTGGAAACTGAAGTTTGCAAACTGAAATCTTGAGACATGAGGAGCGCCAGCTCCAGCTGCTGCCGCTGCTGACGTCAATGCAAAAACCTGTATAGGAGCCGGATTTTATGGCTGGAATAGTCACACTGAAATCACAGTGTGTTAAATTACGCCCCTGTGCCTTCTAAGAGCAGGACCTGAACACGTCCGTGCCAGATATTTACCTCTAATGACAAACAATCAAATGTACTTGAAGAGGAAGTGTGGCCCTAAGGCATCTTGGGCAATGATGTATTTGAAGAGTTTGACAGCAAGACTTGGAAAACAAAACCAACTAGGACTAACAGGCTCTGGTAATCCTTGATGGTAAATACCCACGCAGAACTGCGAGCCAAGACCCCAGATAGAACCAGCATGTGAAAACTTAAGGTCTTTTAAAAAACCAGAAATAAATCCTCCCAAAGTAAACAGCAAATGCTCAGCAATCCCAAAAGACAGCTACTAAAAAGAAGAGCCAAGGGACAAAAGAACCCTGTACAAGTACCACTACCTGAACTGGAGGTTTTGACTGTACATTAAAAGCCGGCTTCAGAAGTAAGCTGCCTTGGGTTATTAAAGCACATAAAGCTCTACCTCATTGAATGTCTTTGAACTTTACTGAGTCCCACAAGCGATTCTGACCCCTTTGCCCTTTTGACAGGTAATAAAGTTTACAGCAATTCCACACCAAGCCATGCACCAGGGAGTGGTCACAGGAGCAGAAAGAGCTGGGAAGGAAAACTCCAAACAACTGCTAAAAAAAAAATAAGAATGATTGGGATCGTGTACAGAAAGTCCGGCCATGGAGCGGATCATTTCAGTTTTTCTTTTTGAATTTTCAATGTCCTTTTTTTTCCCCCAAATGTTTTTAATCATGTTAAAAATGATCAGAGTTGTAATGAAAGAAAGCTGGTTGTATTTTAATTGTCAATCACTCCCAGCATTCATTTCTCATTTATTTACCAGGTAATGGACCTCCCGGTGAATGGCTTGAGGATGGTTTTCGCCTGCGTGACTCGAATACAGTTACTATTGGGGACTTGCCTGCTCGATTGGACTGGTCTATCATGGGCTGAACTATTCTTCTTCTAGCATTAATAAACCTGCAAGGAAAAAAAAAAAGGAAAGCAAATGGTTAGGGAAGGGATGTCTTCCACCCATCCCCAAGCCCTCTTGCCCTTGCTGTGGCGCTCTCCATCGGGCTGCGTGGGGATGCAAACACCGCTAAACCTCTAACCCTGATGACCTTTGAGAGCACGAGCTTGGGGTTTCCAAGCTGATTTATGTTTGCCTGCTTTTTACCACAGTTGGACACTTCCATTTCATCTTTTCATGGGGGAATTAGCCGAGTTTTCAGGAAACAATACCAGCAACGCTCTTCTCAATACAGAATGGGGCACCGAAAAAACAAAAACGTGTGAAGCGAGATGTTCGTGAGGGCATCTGCTACCTCCCCCCTCATTAGTGTCATTTCTGCCTTATGTCCTCTGACTTCTTTTTCCAATTTTTTTCTTTATCAAAACCTGCCCCTACCTCTTGCAAACCTAATTCCCTTTTAATGCCCACTATTAAGATAATGAACTGTGATGGCAGAACCCCATCAAATGAGGGAACGTCTGGACTTTTATCACCACTAAGTCACACTGCTGGGGACTTCAGAGCCATGCATTCCTCCTAGCCATTTCTTGGTGGGCTTTTTTCCCCCCTCCCTCTCTTTATGCAAAGTCTGAGGGGGTCAAGGCGAGGTCATAGCTTTACAGTAATTGAATTTATAATCCTGTTTTCTCCAGCTAGGCCTGACCATTTACAGCAAACATCTTGTTAAACTGTAATTACTGGACTACCGAAAATTCCCCCCCGAACAATGAAAAGCAGATCTTTGGAAATAATAAAAAAAAAGAAGGTACGGTCATTTTTAAAAATAGCCATCTGCAACCCTACTCCTTGTGTTTCTTTAGCTCTTTGCCTCAGTTAGTCTTGCAATGCTTATTTGGAAATATTCAAAATAATTTGAAGCAAAACAGAAAAAGGAGTGAGATCACAAGTGCCCCAGTCTCCTCATAGCTCTGAAATCAGGAGGCTGGAAACCATGGCTGGGAACCCGTCTGAATGAAGAAGCATTTGAAGAACCTCTCTTGAGATTTCACTCATCAAAAAGTTTAGTTAAAATCCATTTGGAAAAAAATCTCCACAGAGATTTGATCACAGCCAAGTTGCATAACCAGACTTTGCATTCTTTATGAGAGACAAAAAGAATAATAAAAATGCGTACGCCACAATATTTACTAGTAAAGGAAGAAGCGTGAGCATGGGCTTAACCACACCACACTTGTAAATGGGATGGGAAAGTTCACAAAGGAATACTTGATACTTGTTTTCATTGCCTTTGCTTGAGGTGGCTTAGCAGGAGCTCTCCTACCACTGAGATAAAGCCACCAGGATCTTTCTGCGGGAATCAGCTCTGCCCACCCATTCCCCTACACCAGAGGGGAGAAGAATAGCAAACCACTGCCCCATGCTGTTTCTTTTGCCCTCATCAAAGACCAGCGCAGCGACTTCGGGCTCCTCCTATCTCCTATTCCCCACTGACACCCATTACCCAAAATCCCGCAAAAACAAATCGAGATATTGAGTCCTTATCAAATCCCTGATCTTGAGGAAACGGGCTCAAAGGCACCAAATCTGGGTGCCAATCTGGAAACCTTACACCTGAACCAGATCATGTTTTGCCAGCAACAGTATTGGATCAATTTTTCTACACACTTCCAATAAACACCCCCCTCAATGCCAGCAAACAGTGTTGCAAATCAGTTTATCATTATCTTGTACAAACCATGAAAATTAGAATCATGTGAGCAGAAGGTTAGACTAATTCTCCTTTCTCATTATAAGCACAGGTGTAGCACAAACACCATGTGAAATAAGCAATTAAAAGAAATCTGCTTTTTTTCCCCCATTAGCTGTCTTAGCTCCATGACCAATTAGAAAATTGTTTAATATCTGTAATCTGCATTTGCAGAAAGCAATTTTCACAGTAACTCTCTGAAGTAAAACAACAACACAGAACCCTAGTGCCTCAGCCATTTCTTTCTGCAAGTCTGACAAGGTTCTTGCTGTGTTTACTCCATCCTTCTCCTGCCACATTCCCTGGACCTGGTACTGTGGAAGCAAGGGGAGGATTTTTGGTAGCCATGAGAGTGACTGGTCACTGAAACCTTCATTTTTCAACAGCTTTTACCCCAAAGAAATGCTGAGCAACATCAAGCATGCACCCCCAACTTCAGGACCTTTTCCTCCTTCTCCTCCGAACAACAAACACTTTTAAGAAGAAGGGAGGGGGATCTCAAGATAATAAACTATACTATACATAGTTTACACACTAATATACCAGAATAAACTATATATTCTAGAGTTTGCCAATAATTATCCACAAGACATGCCTATGGTAAAACATATCCTCACCCGTTTGCCCCATGCTATCACTTGGGGTATCTGATTTAAGAACATTTTACACACAGGTGCTTAACAGTTATCTTCTTCCTACGCATTCATGTAAGTATTTTCTATAAGTAGCAATTCTGCCAAACAGCCCAGTGTTTGGATGTCTTCGGGGGGAATTCAGACGCAAGAACATTTTCCTTCTGGGCAAAGTAATAAAATGACATTCTCGCTCCTCCCACTAGAAGTCAAACGGAGGTCAGCTCCCCATCCTTGTATCTGTTTAAATAAACTGGTCCAGCTGTTTGTTTCCAGGATGCCCTTTAACCTTCTGTCCCATCCTCCCTGCCTTTGTAACACAACGCTTTACTTTGCATTATAGTAGACTCCAAATCACTATGCATTAAAAAAAAAAAAGAAAAAAAAAGAAAAAAAAAGAAAAAAGAAAGAAGAAAGTATTCACTTTCAAGTTTCTTCCTGCATCCTAAACCTGGAATTCCTAAGAACCCATCAGATTAAAACTATTAATGTGGTTTGCCCTGAGAGAGCACAATGCAGTGCTGCTATGTTTATAAATCACATTTGAGAACTCTTTGCAAGCAAAACTGCGAATTAGCTGTTGCTGCAGAAATATATGGACATGAGGTTAATTTCTTCATACTCTGTGTTGTTTTGTGGGTTTTTTTGCTTTGAGAAAAGGGTCAGGATCTTTTGATCACTCTTTGAATTTCCAAGGTGCCAGGCTGATGTTAACATCGGCACAAATGATGGAATAGAAGAGCTAACAGGAAAAATCTCTGCTTTTCCCAAATGTTCATATTCATCTATCTCAAGAAAACAACCCCTAAGCCACTCTAACTTTTAAATGTTCAGAGGAATCAGAACCTAAAAAACATATTTGCATACTAAATGCTACTGAAATGGAGTATTATCAAAATACAATTCAGAATAAAACTTAAGACAGACATATAACCTTACTCGTGTGTAAAGACCCAGTCAGGCTCAAAGACTTGTATAAAGTATTTTTCCCCATACCAGTGGCTCTATGCACTGGTACCTTTGCTCTGATGAAGAAGATTTTTTTTTTGTTTTGGGTTTTCTGCCTCAGAAGAGTAGGATCAATAGTGGCATAGACAACACAAGATCCCTCAGTGTACAAGTCGTACCCACCTTCCAGCCCAAGGAGAGTTAAGAACTTTTCAAAGTGATTTGGGCTGCTTTCTTTCAGGTTTTTTTTTTTTTTTTTTTTTTCCTTTTTTGTTTTGCAAGGGGAAGGATCTGGCACGGAGAAAACATTTGAACAGTTGGGCAAACACAGGAGTTTAAGGTATTCGACTATTTTTTTTCAAGTTAAGTTTTCCTTGTCCTATTTGTACACATGGGATCGTGCTTTCTGCCGCGTCCCAAAAAGCAAGAAAAAACCCAGCAACTCCACCTTCATAAGCCTAAAGAGGAGGAGGAGGAGGAGGAAACTCTCTTTTCTCCCATTTGCATTTTTACTAGGATGTTTTCTCTTAGGCTTCTCGCCTGGGGTCTGTCTCCAGAGGTCACTGGCAGACTCCCCTGTTGGTGCATCGCCGGTCCCACGGGTGAGCTCCAGCCCCAGCCCCGGGGATGCAACAATCTGCCTCTGCACTCTGACCTTCAGCTTGGCCGCCCTCGCCGCCACGCACAAGTTTTGTTTCTTCTCAGCAAGAGGCTGCATGGCTGGTGATGACAAAAGACTTATTTTAGTTGGAAATTGGCTACAATAATAGCAGCCAGAGAGCAAGGATTTTCAGAGGGTCACCAAACCCTCCGAAAGGCACAGCTCGCTAAGGCTCAGGTTACAGCCCAAGTGACATTTTCCACACAGATCTGTTCTTTCTCCCTTCCCCTTGTATTTCACGTCTGTTGAGTGAATAAAACAAGACCTTCCTCTGCTGTCACAAATTTCCAAAGTCACCTTTGCTCAAGAATCGACAGAGCGATTGTGGGGACTTCCAATTTGCAGTCTTTCAATGAAATTTTCCAGGACCAGCTGTCTGAAAGATGATGCTGAGCCTTCGCGGTCTATTGAATTTTTCTCTGCCCCTAGCCCTCCCAAATGAGGAGAGTTTCACACCATTACTGACTTTTGCTACTTGAAGTCCCAGGTTGCTCCCTCTCAATATTGTCCCAAAAGCACTACATGACAGAAGTCTGTGTCTCACTAGCAGTGCAAAGAGGTTCCCAAAAATCTCTCTGCCTCATTTTCTCCTTGAGCTCCTTCTAGAAAACCAGGAGTAAGGAGAATGAGAAAACCCAAAGTACCTACAAACCCCAGCGCTAAAACCTCTCTTGCCCCTCTGAAAAAAACAGTATCCCTCTTGACAACAAGCAAATCATCATTTTTATAACAGATGCCCAAGCAACCAGAGCCCTTCAAACTGGCAAATAATTCACTTGTAAAACCAAGTTGCACTCTTTTCTGCATACTGGGATCCTTCATTTATACAGCAGTGAAACAACCTTCTCTATTCAGCACTTAATTCCTCAACGCTTAACAGGTTTATCTCTAATAAAACCAATTTAAATGGAAAGTGTGCTATAAACCGAGATTATTACACTTCAGTAACTGCTTTATTCCTTATTTTAACATATTTTCATTTTTTCCCTCTGTGTTTGTTTTCCAGAGCTTTTTAAA